AAAAAATTATTCTAAAGAAAACCTGAAAAATTACTTAAACTAAATATCATAAAGTCTCTAACAACTTCAAATTAAAATATCAAATATTATTAATTAATATGAACTTAATCTAGTTTGGAACAAAATATTTAAAGCACTTTCCAAAACTGCTACTAAAAATATTCCTTATAAAAAAATCAAAACTATTCATGAAATCAAATTAGATAAACTACTTAAGTATCATTCACTCTATTATAGATACAAACAAATACAATATCTTAAAAATTATTTACAATTCCCAAATCTTTATAATCTTCTTAATAAATATAATACTAAATATTTTGACAATTTTATTATTTAATCTTAAACTTCTGATAATCTTCAATCTACTATTAAACAAGAATTTATTTAAATTAAATTAGTACTTAATACTTATTACCAACAACAAACTCAAAAAGAAATTTAACAAAAAAACAAAGACTTTAATTAACTCTTTTACTTACAACTAAAAAAATTCTTTAAAAATATTCTTGAAAAATATAATAGTATTTACATTAACAGATTACTAAATCATAACACCTTATTGACAGAAGAAGATCAAATTAAACAAGCTATCTACACTCACTTTTTTAAATACTTTATAAAAAATCTTTTTAACAAATTCAATCTAATTCTGAATATTATGAACTTTACTTACTCCATTCTGAATTTGAATCACACTATCAGAACTTATTTAATGATATCTCTAATAATGAATAACAAAATACTATTCAAAATCTTTTTTTTTAAAAAGTTGCTGGACCTCTTGAAACCAACTATGAATACATTAAATATGTTAGCTTTTTTGGCCAAATCTATTTCAAACTATTTATTAATAAATGTTTTCAACTTTAAAAAATTCCATCTGAATGAAAAACATCTAATATCTTTCTTATTCCAAAAAAATCTTCATAGAACTTTACACTTAATCAAGTTTACCTTATCTCAATTATAGAACTTATAAAAAAATGTTTTACAAAACTTTTTATATATAGACTTAATAACATCATTAATACAAACAATCTTCTCTCTAATCTTAACTTTGCATTTACCAAAAACTCATTAACACACATTCTAATACAAATTCTTAACAATACTATTGAATATTATAAACACTTTAACAAAAAGATATAAATAATGTTTCAAGACATGTCCAAAGGTTTTGATAAAATTAACATATCTTAACTTCAAGATACTTGTAAAAAATTGGTATTTCTTTACAAAAGATTCAACTTATTACTGAACTTCATACAAACTAACAAGCAAAAATTATTACTGCACATGATCTTATATTACTTTTTTATATTAAATCAGAAATTGAACAAGATGAAACCTATTCATCTTTACTCTGAAAAATTTACTATGATCCTATTATTACTTTCATTTGCAACAAATATAACAACCATCTACTCAAAATTACCTTCTTTTTATCTCTTAATATCATTTCAAACATTTCATCATTTTCTATAACAATACCTCCTATAGCCTTTATAAACAACATTGTTTGGTACAGTAAAAGTTCTGAATCTCTTCAAAGTATTCTTAATAATACTCAAAAACTTTACAATTTAAATAATATTAAAATTAATCTGACCAAATCTGATCTTCTACATATCTCTCAAAATGAAAACAAACTAAACCTTACTATATTAAATCTTTACTACAATAATCAAATAATACCTTTATATAAGCTTTATGAAATTATACGATATCTTAGTATCTATTTTGATAGAAATAGCTCAACTAAACCAACATATAAGATACTACAAAACAAAATTGAAAACTTTCTTATTTTAAAAAACTTACACCTAAACAAATCTATACTCTTTTTAATATAATACTACAACCATCTTTAGAATATTTATTACAAATCTTATTAATTTCAAAAATACAACAAAAACTCTTATATCTACTCTCTATTACAACAAAAAAATACTTTATCTTGCTAAAAATACATCTAATATTCTTCATACTAATTCATTATTATTTAAACTTCTAACCCTTCAATATTTTATCTAAAAAGTAGTAATATCTATAATGGAACATATTTTTTATACTACTTCTCTTCTTAAATATATTGGCATAGCCAAAATTAAAAATTGGCTAACTAAAATGTGACAACCCTTCTTTCTTCCAAATATTGTTTCTAAGTTTTTATTAAAAATAAAAAATTTTATATTCATCTTTCAACTTTTAGTTTTAAATAATTCCAATATTTTTCTTTCATTTAATAACTTACTAAACTTATTACCAGTTAATATTCCTACATTTACAAAAAACAATATATAATATTTTTTTATCTAATAATTCTTAGTCACTAATTAACAGCCTTCGAAACAATAAAATACTTTTTATTAAACAACTTACAACAGCTAATAATTTATATATTTTTCTATGGAACAATATATATATATACATATTAAGAAATCTATTCATGGACCTATCCTATCTTGGTTTACTAAACTCTCCAATCTTATTCAAAACAATACAATTTCTCAAACATGATCATATCTTAACTTACTAAATATTAATATGTTTATTAATTCTTTTGATACAATCACTCCTTATCACTTATTATCATTAAAATAAATAGTCTATTGTTATTAATAATTTACAAATTCTCTTTATAAAAAATTCATATAATTTTTTCTTTTTTTATTATATTCCTTCTGGCTTAATATTCTTAATTCCTAATAACTTATCTACACCAATATTTTAAACTTCTATTTATATTTCTCATATTAAATTATTAAAAAAGAATAATAATTATTTATTCTATATTGACAATTATAAAATTCATACACTTATTAATATTCAACAATATGTAATTTCAACTTTGATATTACCTCAATTACTAACTATTTATATTTCTAATATAGAAATTCAAATAATTCAAAAAAAATATCATCCTCTCATTATAAAACCAACTTACTAATCTATTTTTATTAACTAAAAACCTTCCAAATAATACTAATTTCTATACAGATACTTTAATTATTAATGCACAAACATCATATTCAAAAATTGGTATTGGATAGATCTTTAAACATAATACTCAAATCAAATTTAATTATACAATATCTTCATACTTTGACTCTACTCAAGCAGAACTTGAAGCAATTATCTATCTTCTACTCATTCTTCTAATAAACTCACAAAGCAATATATACTTCAACAATCTATTAGCTTTAAAAAACATCAAATTATTTCCTTTCTTATACAAATTCTTATATATTAAAAACTGGGATATTTTATTTATTATTCATCATTTTATTCAAACAAAATCTTTCAAAATCTCTTTTCACAAAGTCAATTCCTACTCTAATAATTCTTTTCATAATCAAGCTAATCTCTTAGCTATAAAAGGTACCTCTAAACATTTAATTAAATTCAACTCTATAACATTATTTCTTGATTATTTTAAATAATATAACTACATAATACATACTAAAACCTAACTATTCTTACAAAATACAATTTCTATACAATTAATTTTTTCTTAGTCACAACTTAAATCTTTTTAAAACCCATTCTTTATTGAATGATTAACAAATATTAGCATTATTAATTCTTTAAATAATGATCAAAAATTCTATATTTTTTATCTTAAAATTATTAATAACAATTTATCTATTATGCAAAACCTTAATTTATAATATCTGCTCTTATATACTACTCCAAATTGTGTTTATTGTCTAACTTCTGAAGATATATTACATCTCTTTACATGTCCTAAACAAAAATATAATCTTTTACAAATTCTTTGAACTTTAATTTCAAATACTACTCAATAATTAAATATCTCTTTTGAACTTTCAAATAAAATTTATATTATCTTATCACAACAAACAAACATTCTACTACATTCTCACTTTTTTAATCTTATTGAAGACCTTTTTTCTATATCTCATTATGACAATGTTAAAATATTATTTTATAAAACAATAACTTCCTTCCATATAACCCTATCAAATGCTATTCTAAATTGGTTTTACCAACATATATGGCTATTATGTAATATTCTTTAACAACAATAAGAAAAAACTCAGAATATAACTAAAAAATCTAAACATTCAAAAATATATTTTTTAACTCTATCTTCTTAATTTAATTTCAATACTACCAATACACCTACTATAAATCTAATTATATTTATTAAAAATTGATTAATTTTAAGCTTACATTTACTAACTATATTTACTAAATACTAAGACTATCATCTTAGGTTTTTTTCAATCTTTCTATACTTAAAATTAATTTGAAATAATTACTAATAGTGTTATATAGAAATGGAGGTGTAATGTCATATTAGGTGTCTTAAATAAGTAGCACAAATGTAGTTTAGAAATCTTTAATATAATTACTTTTATTATCTAATAAAGTTTCTATTTTGATATAACAAAAAAAAATAAAAAATAAGATATTTTATAATGTTGCAATAATAATATCAAAATTATAAAAAGAATTAAAATATTCTAAGCAAGTATATAAAAAACTTATTTCACAATTCTGCTATTTTAATGCCAAAAAAAATCTCATTTAATCTATTATATGTTCAATAATTAAATATTTGTACATTGTAATGAAAATCTATCAAAAGTCAGTTATATCATCTTTCTGAACTTGTATTAAGACTTTTTAACATTTAATCATCACAAGCAAATTGTAACAAAAAATTTCCATTTTTAAGTGATTGATTGATAATAAATGTACATTTCTTAAAATTGACAAGCTTGAAAAAATAACCAAAATTAGGATATATAATACAAGAAATATATAAGATGAACTTATTTATTTCATTGCTGAATTAACTGAATTTGAATTATATATAATTATAAAACTTGCAATAATTGATGATAATATTAATAATTATCTTGATAATTATATGTAAACAAAATAAATAAAAATATTGATACATACAAAAGGAATCTAAGTTTATTTTCTCAGACTAATTTAATTGTAAAAAATTTTGTAAATCTTAGAGACCTAGTCCTTCAAGAAAGAGATAATATAATATTTGAATTTTCTTTTAATACTTCAGAGACTAGTATTAAAGAAAATGATAATATGAACTTTAATCCTGAGGATCTTTTTGATTCTGTTTTAAATATTAAGCTGGATTAAATAGCTACTGTATTAAGTTAGATGTAAAACAATTATTAATTCAGCGATGATATGTATATGCTATACGAAAGTAATAAAATGATTATATTGCTTTAAAAAAAGAAAGATCCATGAACGATCGTTAAATTTATTTTTCTTCGAAAATTTACGTTATACAATAAAAATTATATATTACATGTCATATGTTGAAATACTATGTATTAAATGCTACGGCACATATCAAATCTTACGACACATCTCAATTGTTGTGACATATGCAAATGTCATGGCACATGCAAGTTGTTACGGCATATGTGAGTTGAGACCCTTTTGAAGTATTGTCATGTCTCAAGTTACGCTATCGGGATGTAAAAAAGGTTAAGTTAATATGGTAATTGTAAAGAATTATGTATTTTTAATAGAATGTGCTTATTGCGGTTATGTATTTCTATTAAATGTGCTTTTGCGATTAATATTACATAATAAATAAGCATTTATTGGCGTAGTCAAATTAATTAATACTTTGGGTCTTCATTTGTAATAATTTAAATTTTAGGTTCCAATACGTAATTATTTTTAATTTGCGGTCCCTATCTGTAATCATTTTGAATTTTTGGGTCTTTATTTGTAATTCCCCTAATTTTTATTCCAATTTTCTTTTCTTATTTTTCATTATTATTATTTCTCTGTTTATTACCCCGTGCTTGTGATTTCAAAAAAAATTAAAAATAGTAATGGAAACAAAGAAACGATTAGTAGCACCAATGCTTGTCATGTCATCATATGAAACGATAAATAACTCGTTTCTTCCATGGTGCCAGGGAATATTTTAAACATCCCTGGGCGCCACATTGGCGCAAAGCGCTTCCACATATGCATTAGGGAATAATTCATTATTACTGACGTCCCAGAAAATAAAATAAAAGGAAATAGATTTCGAATTTATCACAATAACATTGTCGGTCAAAATGAATTGATTATATCTATCTAAATGAATAAAAATCATAAAACTTAATTCTCATTTTTGATAGCCAATGGCCTAATTGATGTGGATTTTGTCTGTCATTAACATATTCGGATTAATGCTTGAATCAAGTGTCTCTTTGTCCTGAATTAGGGTTAAGGTCATCTGTTAATTCTGATCAAATGATCTGACACCTGATGCAAGCATTACTTCTTTGTCTTCATATCATTATACACATTCAATTTGAATATGTTTCATGCCAATATATAACGTATGTACGTGAGAAATTAGAAGTGGCATGCAGAAACTGTAACACTTTCTTGAAAATAAAAGACTATATCAGCCTTGAAACTTGGGCAATCTGAGAATTTTTATTATATCGTATCTGTATCCGTTCACCTTATCGAATGCTGCTATAGGTAAACTTTAATAATTTCAGAAGCGACACTATTATGGAAATAACAACGGAAAGTAATTATCAAAGACATGGTCATTAATGCGAGAATATTTTGAATATTACAAATCATATTTCAATATCAACCACCTTTGTAGCACGAAATTTAGCACGTTTCGTGAACAAAAATGAAAATTATTTGTAATCAAACTTCTCATGATGTTCTTACAGCATAACTACGTTTGTAATCAATTAAACTTTATTCAACAAAAATGTTCGTACTGCAGTGGCAATTCTATGAAATTAGTGTGCTATTATCGAATAAATCAATTTATTTATTTTGATCAATATATCGAATAGATCAATTTATTTATTTAGATCAATATACTGTTCGAGGGAAATAAAATTTTAAGATCCGAATGAATTATATTTACCAGGAATTTATTGTCACAGATATCGGGTCCAGATTTACTTATTTGTGCCTAAAAACGGAAAAATAATTTTGTAAATAAAAACAAATTAAATGCGTAAAGATAAAAACTTAGCCTGTTATATTATGATCAATATTAATAGATACTCCGTTATTTTTGATTAGTGCACGAAGGTAGATTTAAACACTAGATTTTGAGTGGTTGACAATTTTCTTCTTCCTCCGCACGTGTTCGAAATTCGTATTAGGCTGATGCTGGGAGGATTAAAGTTTAAATTCATTGATTGGCTACTTCTTTTTTTAGGAGTTGGTATTACCGGACAATTGTTGTTCCGAGCATATTCATAACCTTATATGTCAAAAATATAATTTGTATAGCTTAAGTATTCATGTTTTTGCTATAATTTTCTTTTTTAGACGTGTAGCAAATAACTCGTGCATTGTAACAAATGTATGTACGTATGTTGAGAAAGTGTTAGCTGCGTCGAAAAGCTCACAGGGTCGATAAATAATCCACTTACTATACAAGAACCTAACTTAACTCTATCTAGAGTACTATAACTATAATAACCAACCCAATATTGGTAAGACTACGATCGTGGCATGGAAAGACTTGGTCGGGTTAATGGGTTTATTATAGTGATAGCATTAGGTCTAGATAAGTTTGCTTTTACTTCCATTCGGGTAATTTGGTCGATTCCTTCTACCTTACTAATACTTGGCTTCTTTCGTTAGGGTTACTACGGTTGTGAATTCGGTAGTATGTTAGTGATGTCCAAAAAAATTTTACCTTTTCGTGTATTATTACGAAATTTCTGTACCTTTTTGTAAATATCTTTCTTTTCGTTTTCTTTTATTATCTGCTTATATGTATGACGTAAGCATACAAATTAGGATATATAAGTTAGCGTAGCATAATACTAGGGTCCAAAACCCAGTATAGGTACAAGACCCTGTTACAAAGTTGATTTGCGTGCATTGCATATTTCGGGTTAGCATAGTGTAGTAATAGGGTCCAAAACCCCAGTATAAGGTTCGAGATTCTAACCTAAGGTTCCTAGCTCCGCTTCCGGGTTTGGGATCCCAGCATGAGGTTTAGAACCCACTATCTAAAATTTATATAAATAGGGCACATGTTCAATAATTAAAATAATTCATTCTGTTAAGTCAATAATAATATACAAGATAGACTGAAATCCTACTTGTTGTGGCCAAAGTGATAAGTTCTAGCCTTCACATATTGTTACTTAGTTACCAAAAACCTGCTGATATTAGTCACATGGTTCATGATGACCTACCAGCGATCCAGCAATTGTGATCCTCTCAGATTAGCTTTGTCAACTAGTTGATAGCTGAGTCAAGATTACATTTAAGTTTATAGTATTGTGCTAAAATCAGGTAACCGTGTAAGGAAGGCTCTTTCTAACTATAACATCTTGGTGCTGATTATGTGGATGAATACCAGTGTGGATGAATGTTGAAGAATTGAGTAAACATGTAACCTTATACATCAATGAATTATAATGGTCATGTGTAATGAATGATATCAATTGCAAAGTAGTAATATGTTAAAGCAAAGAAAAATAATTATTTTCAATTATTGTGTACAAATAGTAATAATAGAACAAAAAGTATAAATGAGATTGTAGATGAATAAGCAGCAGCTAAGAATAAGTCATAATACTATAATCAAATAATATAATAATTAGATAAAATAAGAAAATATGCTTAATGATATAACCATTGGAAATAGTGATTACAATTTCAAATTGATAAATAAAGAAAACACTCAAGAAGGTAGCAAACCCTTAGTAATAAAAACCTGTTGAATAATCTGAACCTACCAATGGATTATAAACAGTAACCAACTCTTAGTCAACAAATAATATAACTATTACAAGTTATAGCAAACATTTTGAAAATGTTTCAAGAATTTCAATCAGAGTTAAGTAAATAAAACATAATGAACAATCTTATGTTTAGTAGAAGAAATTAAGACTCATTAGAATTGATTAAATTAATTATATGAGTATTCTGTACTAACAACATTTATAAAGCCAGACTAATTATAATAGCAAGGGCACATCTGTCTGACTTTGCTGCACTATGATAGAAAAGTTTAAAAAACTAAAGAATAGAAGCAGATACTGGAACAACAAGATGAAGTTGAGACAAAGTTTTGTATACTAGTTTTATTTAAACTTTTGTATCTTGTCTCTAATCAATTAATAGAATACTTAATTACTAACAAGATGACAATGCATAAGAGAAATAGTAAATCAATATGCTGCAAACATATTGATATTGTTTAATCAAGTAACTTAAGTTGAAAACCAGTACTTTACAATTAACCAAGACACAAATATTTATTTAGAAACTTTGTTTAGACCTATCACAGATTGTAGAACCATTTATGCCAAATATATTTCAAGAAGCTATTGATAGAATATGAACTTATAAAATGACTTTTGTAAGATAATCATTAGTATATGAGCCAGTATTATATTATCAATTAGTCAATACAATTTCTTAAGTATCTATATTACTACTATAGCATCAATGTATTCTATAAACCAACCAGTCACATTTGCACAAGTTCCAAATGCTTTAATAAAGCAAGTTATGTGAGGTGGTTATGACAATAAGAAATAATAATAACAATAACATTAACTATTTATATATTTTACAAAATAGAAATCAACTTGATAAAATAAACCAGTTGCTTATATGCTATGTCTGTTAACAAGTGTGATGCTATGCCTATAAGTATCTGACTAATAATCATATTAATAATAATAGAAATAATAATAATTATCTAATTTAGAATCAGAATAATGTTTTTACAAATAATAGCAGAATGGTAGAAGAAATCTCAAGAGTACAAGTAATAATAACTCAAATACAAAATAGCTTTGAGCATTTAAACTCAGAAGCATATCTTTAGAGTATAAGAGTGCATAACCATTTACAAACTTCTTTATTGCAAATATAAAGAAAGATTATATATAGATTAATTAATAAGTTTTGTCATAGCATAATTATTTTAATTTTTTATTAATGCAAATAAGTTAAAAATTATATTATTCCTTCAAAATACTTCTTGTTAATATCTATGCAATATTGGAGTTAGTTATACAAATTATTAAAAGATTTTTCATATTCCTAATTAGAAATATTATTAATAATTAAATTTATAGCATATGCAAGGTTTTCAATTTATTCAAACTATCAAT